CCAGCCCCAGCCCCAGCCCCAGCCCCAGCCCCAGCCTCTCTGGTTTCCAGAATGAGAACCTTTTGAGCCCTGCAGTGTCTGAGCTATCAAGCTGACAGCTCTCAAAACACCCCAGCTTCAGAAGTTTTCTAGATTGTTAATTAATATTTTCGTCTTAAATTTATTTTTCTCAGATATTTTCTGCCTATGTCAAATTTTTACTATTTTCTGCTTTTTTAAATTATAGTATAGGGTGGAAAATTATAGTAAGGTTTATGATTAAAACAAAACTAAAAGTGAGAAAAGCCACAAAATAGCATAAGGAAACTCATTATTTTAAAGGCTTTATGTATATTTGAGATTTCCTAGGGTCTCTCTAAGCTGTCCTGAATATTTTTTCTTTATCAGTAATATTACTTCAAGTCTAGTCCTGATATATTCTTCCCTAATACTCGATTTGGAACTTAAATTATGCTCATTAATAGGCCCCTGTCCTCTGTGGATTTTCCACTTCCCACTGTCCAGAACTGCAATTACTGCTTCCTCTCCAGGCTGTGTGGCATCTTGGTGCAGAGAATACCTGTCCTTTCCTGTGCCCAAACCCACACTCTTATCAGCTCCTTCCCTGGAAGATAGAATTTTTTTTTTGAAATTATGAAAATAAATTTTATTTTTAATTTTCAAAAGTAAAAAATCCATAACATTTTTAATAAACTGTTAATATAATTTAGTTGATACCTAGTTAACCTCATATAGCATTAATGTTTTATTCCTTTTTCTTGAAAAGATAGAATTTTTAAACTAATATTTAAAAAACGCTTGACTAATAATACCTGTATTTTTAGTTTGAAAAGTTTTTCCTACACCTCATCTTATTTAGTCATTGTCACAACTTCTGACATAAGTTTTTTATTTTTAAATATTAGTACTCTGAGGCTTAGTTAGAAGTTAGAGATATACTCATAGGTGGTAGAGTCTGATCTTGAATCCAGGTCTCCAGACTAAGGAAACTTCCGTGTGTGTTTTGTGTGTGTGTGTGTGTGTGTGTGTGTGTTTAAAAAATATGTATTTTTATTGATTTCAGAGAGGAAGGGAGAGGGGGAGAGAGATAGAAACACCAATGATGAGAGAGAATCATGGATTGGCTGCCTCCTACACACCCCCCACTGGGAATTGAGCCCACAACCAGTGCATGTACCCTGACCGGGAATCAAACCGTGACCTCCTGGCGATGCTCAACCACTGAGCCATGCTGGCCAGGCTAAGGAAACTTTCTAAACATCTTAGGTTCCTATCATTACTTGTTTGAAAACTAATTTTAAGTATATATATATTATTTACTTTTAAAATACCCTAAAAGACCCTTTTACCCTTTCTAATTACAATAGGAATGGATCTCTTGCTCTTGCAGTAAAAGCACTACTTGAGTAGTATTTATATTTGTGGAAGGAGAAATGGGTGGCAGCAGGTGGGCACCTCTGTTATTCCTACTTCCATTGCCTTCTGTCCAGAAGACCAGAACCTGATGGGATGGGACGGGACAGGTCAGAGGAATGGGGTTAGGAATCTGATCTCTAGCTCTGCTCACTCTGCCTACCTCACACAAAAATGAACAAATGAAGACATCCTCTGTATATGAAGAAGGCTGAATCACAGAGTTCCCAAGTATTAGCTTGAGTGTTTCTCAGAATGTTGTTCCTGGAACAGGAGCATCAACATCAGCCTGTGACTTGGAAATGCTAATTGTGGGCCTCACCCCAGACCAATGGAATTGGAAACTCTGTGGGTGGGCCCTGCACCTGTCCTCCAAGCGGTCTTGATGCTCGAGGAAGCTTAGGAGACAGTGCATCAGAGCATAGACATGGCTGTCACAGTAAAGACAGCCATGCTCTCTGTTGCAGAAATGAGAAATGTACATCTGAATACCAGTTGTGGGAGACGGGATAGGAAGGAACATTCTTTTTCACATAAGGATGAACTAATTCATGAAAGAAGAGGTTACTTATTCTTAACTAGGAAAAAAAGGCTAAATAGTTTTACTAGAACATGTTGAAAAGTCTGACATGGTGCTACAAGCACAAGATTGCCTCTGGAAAAAAAGCAATAAAATATTTTATCTTTATACAGAAGTACTTCATGTCCACTATCATAAGGCCTTGTCTCATGTGCTAAATAAGTCATCATGGTGCTTTTATTTATTTATTTAAACATTTTTTCAATTACATTTCACATTCAATATTATTTTGTATTAGTTTCAGGTGTAAACATGGTGCTTTTCAATGACTGTCTACTTCACTGTTTCTCAACTGGCATTCTGTGACATGTGCATTCTAGTGCCTGTAAATATAGTTTAATGTGAGAACTCTATTCTGGGCTCCCATTGCCATTGCCTGAGCAGGGTGTGCAGAGGGCAGCACCTTGCAGCATACGGATGGCTGGTGGTATGTGTGAGTGTAAAGGATGTGTGCGTCCATCTGGATGGTGAAGGAGGAGGTGGCCCATCCTTCCTCCCACCTCTCAGAACTCTGCCAGCAACTTCACAAGCTTGTCACACAGGAAAGAAGTGTGAAAAAGATATATCTGTGCTTGCTTCGGCAGCACACATACTAAAATTGGAACAATACAGAGACTAGCATGGCCCCTGTGCAAGGATGACATGCAAACTCATGGAACTTTCCATATTTTTTTTTAAAAAATTATTTGTTTTTATCAAAATACTAAGAATTTGATTAGTTTAGGTGATGTGGTGATTTTTTTTACTTGAAGTTAAAAGCCTAAGATTTCAGTGGTCTTTTCATTCTGTTTTACAAAGGAAATGAAAAGATGTTCCTCTTCTTTCAGGGAGCCACTCATTTGAACTATTCATTGGAAATAACCTGACTAGCTGGGCCCTCATAGTTACCCTTGCATTTATTTTCCCACAAACAAAACTGGGCTTCCTAGACCTGGGCTAAACTCGCCCCTTGGAACTCAGCAGTCGCCAGGCCTGGGAACACACCCTGGGCAGGCCTGGAATAAATTCAACTCTGGAATTTAGGTTGATGAAGCAAACTACCATTCACCTTGCTCAATTCTACTTGATGTCAGACTTCCTGAATTTGCAGAGTAGAGTTCCCAGTAGAACCTGGGAAGCCATTCATTAGGGTAGCTCTGACAGTCTTTTCGAGCAGAATTCTTCTACCATCTTCGGGGAAGGTGAATATTCCAATGTAAAGTTAAGGATGACAGCAATGAACTATTCTTTGTCTATTTACACAGCGACAAGAACTAGAATCAGAAAACAAAAAACTGAAAAATGAGCTAAATGAGTTACGCAAAGCCCTTAGTGAGAAAAGCGCCCCAGAGGTGACCGCTCCGGGGGCACCAGCATACCGTGTCCTCATGGAGCAGCTGACCTCTGTGAGTGAGGAGCTCGATGTGCGCAAGGAGGAGGTCCTCATCTTGAGGTCTCAGCTGGTGAGCCAGAAAGAGGCCATCCAACCCAAGGTAAGCACAAGCAAGTGGCTAAGGAGGGTGTTGGGGGACTGGCCTCTGCTTCTGTCTATCTGTTCCGTCCAATGCATAATGAAGGAAACACTTAAGAGCATTTTTAGTCTAAATGAGGATATTATAATTTTTTTAAATCGCAGTGTTATTTTAAAACTATTGCAAATGTCAATTGGAGTGAGCCAAAAGCACGTGAAATCCCAAATGGTATTCAGTCTCATCTCTCACTCATGAGCCAAGTGCTTTTAAAGTTATTTTTTATAGTAATTTGGCCACAATAAATTTTGATCAAAAATAAAATGCTATTAAGTACACAGATCCATAAATTGTCTTGCTGTGGGAAGGCATGAACGACTTTAAAATTATTTGTTGAAGGTAGCCTGTTTCACTGGGAAGGTAACATGGAGAAATTAGAAAGGAGATCAGTGGTGGAAGTTGCGTGGAGGTTTCTGCTCACTTCAGGGAGTTCTGTTTACTGGGGGAGCTGTCCCAGTGGGAGGGCTGTGGTTAGTGAGGCAGCAGAAAGGACCATGCTGGAAGATAGAGATGGCCCTCTGAAGTCCTTTCCTGCCCTCAGGTATTTTGAGACCATGTGCTGATCAGAAATGGGCCCTTTTGTCATGTGCCATCAGATAAAAATTATCTGATTAATCACCTTAAAGCCTGACGTATGTCCCTGCCCGTGTTCATGCAGCAAAGTGTTACCAAGGCTTGAGGCAATCAACTATCCCAACGGCGTGACATGCCAAATGAAATAGGACTGTGATATATGATGAGCTGGGTGCTTGAAAGATGTGAGAGTGCTTCTCTTAGAAATGGTAGTTGTGCAGGTGGCTGAGATACCGAACCTTGCACATAGGTATGGATTTGATAATGGCAACTATCACCAAGGATTAATATTGGTCCAGAAAATGTAAAATTCTGGAAAATCCCAGTAACAAATGGAGTTATATGAAGAAATGACCTTCCTTATTTCAAAACAAATCACAAACCCCTTAAGTCTGAAATGCGAACTTGGAGATTGGGAGTCTGTCCTTGGGCGTGGCCCTGTATGTACATCTCGCCTTCCCTGGGCTGACGACCACTGAAGAAACAAGTACTCCCCTCTGCTTGCTAGCTGGAGCAGAGTCCACAATCAGGATTCCTTCCTCTGGTTCCCTTGTGACAAATGGGTATTCTCATAGGAAACTTCAGTTAAAGTTACGGGAAAGGAAAAGAAAAATGAACTAAGGCGCATAAAAACAATCTAGTTAACAGAGCACAGAGTTCTGGGATCACACACCCTCACTTACCCAGCTCACATACCCCACGCGACAACTGCTTGTCAGCCTCTAATGGGCTGGCCCTGTCTAATTGAGGTTTCTGCTCTCTGAGTTTCCAGCTTACACATGGTAGCAGCTTGTCCTCTCCTGGGAAAAATGCCCATGATGCTGATTGAGACCTTTCAAATACCCCAGGGCTGTTCACTCCACTCAGTTTCTAGTCATAAACACATATGTCACAACTTCTTTGCAGGACAGTGGTGACACCCAGTGAGCAAGGTGAAGATCCAGCCCAGCCAGGTCTAGTGTGTCTGCTCCACCCCCACGAGTATTCTAGGAGGCTTCACTGTAATCACAGACACTGGGAGAGAATTACCCATGTACTCTAACAGGAGGGTTGTTCTTTCACATATTAAAAATACTATACAATAAAAAAATACAAAAAGAATTTTAAGCATTTGTTCCTGAGAATTAAGACTTGCCGTCATATAAATACATGTTAATGTCCACCTCATGTCAGTTTCATGAATATGTATTTATCTGTTAAATTAGTTTTAGGGAAACAATTCATGGTTGTTTTTTACAGTTAGCTCTTATTTGTTAAGCTGGAGACTCAATGATAGAATTTATTTATGGAAGTAAGGGTTTATTGTTTTCTCCATTTGTTTTTTGTGCTTGCCAACTTGGGATTTTCAGGATGACAAGGTAATTATAAAATTTTTAGTATATACTATTAAATCCTAATTTTAGTTTACAAATATCCCCTAATGTATGCAATTGATGCTTTTTGGCCATCAAGTCTATTTTTATATTTGGGAAGTCAGTGGGAAAACGTGGATAATAGTAGTCTCCTGTCTGGCTCACAGAGAGGCCTCCCTGACTTCTAATTCTCAGCCAGCTCTGTGCCTCACTGTGGTAGTTGTAGGCCATCCACGGGGTCGGGGAGGGGAACCCTTAACTTGGAGGATCTCCCGTGCTCACATGTCTACCAGCTATGGGTCTGAGGGTGAAGAGGAGCCTGAGTTGCTGAGCACACCTGGGAAGGGTGGGATTTTCCTACATGGTTCAACCCTTTCAGGCCTTCTGGTCACTGGCTCAGGGGAGACACACTGAGCAGTGAGTCAGGAACTTGCTAACCCTGGCAGTCTAAGTCTGATCCCATGCCCCAGCCACCACTTCTTAGCTAAGATAGGCCAGATGAGGGAAGGATTGGCAACACACTAAGAGGCCTGGTTCAGCACAGCAACGCACTAAGAGGCCCAGCTTTCCTCTGCATTAGTTAATTAGATCAACTTACCTAATTTACGAAAAGTTCAAAACCACATTCTATAATAGGTTCTCAGATATCAGAGAATACATGTAGCATTATAGAGCCTGGGCCTTTGAGAGTTATTACTTAAAACTTAAAAATCTGAGTATGGCCCTTTATGGAATAGAAAGATTTTTTTCCTTTCAGAAAAAGTTTTCTTGAAAAAGGAAATTTTCTATGATATGTGTGCTAAATATATTTATAAAAATAGCTAAAGAAATGCTTTATGTGGTGTTTCTGGAAAAGATGTTTAAAATGTAATAAAATATAAGCTTTTGTTAATAGCTTTTATCAGATTCTGTTTGGTCTTCTCTAAGGATACATTTATAAACTCTTACAAAAGAACAGCATTAGGAGAAAAGTGGGATTTTTTTTTTTAAGATGCTTCTAATAAACACTGACATTCAAAAGCAAGTATTGGTAGGCCTCTAGTTGGCATTCAAGTTATCTAAGATCCTGGTATTTGAAGTGTATTCTATGAGTGCCACTTCATTGTGAGATCTGGCTGGAGCAAACTTGGACAAAAGGATCAGATATGTACTATTTAGACAAATAGGATGGCCCCTTGGATTCTAAAGTGTATTCTTCTTTAGAGACTATAAAACAGTGGTTCTTATTGTGCATTTTTGCTTTGGTTTAGGAGAGATAAGAGAATAACTGAGTAGAAGCAAAATTTTGAAATTATAGTGGTTTTCAGACAGATTAGACCAGTGGTCGGCAAACTCATTAGTCAACAGAGCCAAATATCAACAGTACAACGATTGAAATTTCTTTTGAAAGCCAGATTTTTTAAACTTAAACTATATAGGTAGGTACATTGTTGCTAACTTAATTAGGGTACTCCTAAGGCTTAGGAAGAGCCACACTCAAGGGGCCAACTTAAACTATATCATTAGACCATAAAGGAAAAATAAAAAGGAAGTAAAAAGGTTTAACAGAAAAGTTCTTTTTATATAAAACTAGAGGCCCAACGCATGAAATCGTGTGCGGGTACGGTCCCTAGGCCTAGCCTGTGATCAGGGCCATCTTCCCCAGCTGCCCACAACCGGCCCCGCCCCCTTCCACCACCCACCCATTTCCCCATTCCCCATCCAGCGATGGGAGGCTGACGGCCGGGGGGAGGGACCAAGAGGTCAGAAGTTCCCACCTGTTCACCAGCCCCATCCCCGGCGCCAGTAGCCCTCTGTATGTGGGGCGACCGGTGGGGCGGGGGTCTTGGCCTGGCACTGCCCGCATCCCCCACTACCCACCCCGGTTCCCCATTCGCCATTGGCAGTGATCGGAGCCTGCCGGCCAAGGAAAGGGACCAAAAGGTGGTCAGTGCACCTCATAGTGACTGGTCGATTCTGGTTGTTCTGCTGTTATGGTCACTGGGCTTTTATTATATAGGATCATTAGTAATTCTGACCTGCCAGGTATTTATTTCAAAAGCTTATGTACCATGTGATACTGTAACAGAGGAAAAAGAATTGAATAACAGCAGATGGTAGATATTTATAAGGAGCTAAATTCTTCCCATTTATATATATCTAAAGATGTGAGGAAAAGCTTTTAATTTTGTAAAGCATACATCTGAATGCTACCTCTTTGTACTGAGTTTTTCATGGAAGAATGAGCTTTATGTTCAACTTTTAGTGTGTTATTATAACTGATATTATAATATTATAAGTGTTACTATAACAAATGTTTTATTATAACTGATCAAAAAGTAGTAGGAAGAACAGTTTTTTCCATTTCACTAAATACTCAGTGTTCTTGCCTGGTTTTTATTCTAATGCTGTGTATATATTTTGAAATATATATATTTATATACAGCATTAGAACAATAACCGGTCAAGAACGCCTTAGAACTATATAATGGAATATACAGTATATATTCACCCCCAACACACACAAACACATATATACACACACATGTAATGTAAAACAGCATAGCCCATCAGTAATTTTATTTACAGGGCTGTGGTATTCGGAATCTCACCACGTTCGTAGCAGCATGTTAAGGATTCTCAAGAGGAGAATTGACGGCTCCCCTTTTCCTTGACTGCCTGTGCCCCCCTGCCCTCTGGAGTCTGGAGGGGTAGAGTTGTGGTGGGCACATAAACACATGAATATGTCGTATGTGGGCCAAAGCTTGTGATTTGGTTCTTCATGTGGAACTATGTCATTTCCCCTTCAGAATACAATGACAGATGCCACAGTACTTTTGGAAGATGTACAAAAAATGAAAGATAAAGGCGAAATAGCGCAAGCATACATTGGTTTGAAAGAAACAAACAGGTAAGTTGATACTGTTTTTATTCCATTTTGGTTTAATCATATTGATCTTTGGTTTTTAGCCTCTTGTACAAAAAGTCAACATATTTATACATTGCTTTAGTAGACATCAACTAACCTTCAAAGGGAATCCAAGGTTTTCAATGTATTCAATAAAATCTCATTTATAACAAGGTAGCATTATTGATGAAAGGTGTCAGGGGAAATGTTCTTCACTTCACGGGGATATATATGTCTGTATCTTTAAGGTCTTAGCCTTGAGGAGAAAACCAGTTGCTCACTGTTGATTGTCTTGGGTAGTCCCTTTTCATTTCTCATTCAGGCTGGTTATTTGTGAGTGTTGTTAGGGGCAACTGCAGCTTCCAGTAATCTAAATTTAATGTGGAGGGAAATGATGGAGTATCTGAAATCTTATTAGTGGTAGCCATATAATTCTCTAAGGGTTCCATAATTTCTAGGGCAGAACCCTGCATTTGAGACCACATTTTTGTCATGTTCCCTAAGTTGTTCTAAGAAAATCCTAACTCTGGTTTTATTCCATTTACCGTAAATGTGAGTGAAATTGCAGATGGCACTTAGCTCAGTCACTCTACACTTAAGAACTTTAAGTGAGCTGGCTGAGAATGCAGAATTTGCACCATCACTAAATGACTGAACTTTCCTGAGGCTTTTTCTGTAGCTGAGTTTATGTAACAGAATAAAGGCTCGTCTCTGGAATTCTCTCAGCCTTCTTCTCACCTGCTTCCCAGCGGAGCCTTAGTGCTGTTGAACTCAGACCTAAAGAGGCTACATGCTTTAAAGAATATGGCCAGTGATGACCACAGAGAAAGGCAGTTCTGGAGATTCTATTAGCAGTGTGCAGTCTGGGTCTCCTGGTGCATAGTACCACGATTGGCATATAGAAATACTTCACTAACTAAAGAATATCTTCTTTTATGGGCAAGGGTGGAAAATGTGAATAGAGTATTTGGTTAAACTTGAATTTTAATTTATGAATGTAAAATATAAATAGCACATATCTTTTATCTAAGATTGTGTACGTATAAAAATAGCTAGATTACGCTGTTACTTCATCCACCGAGCTATTCAGTTACCAGAGATGTATTGCATGCCTGTTTAATGCCAGGCCCTGTGCCACACACTGGGAATATTAGCAATCAGCAAGGTAAATGCATTCCTTACTTTCATGGGATTTATGGGCTGTTGGGGAGACAGCTTAGAGAATTTGGACTTCACTCCAATGATAGTGGGAGCTGTTGAAAGATTTTAAGTAGGAAAATATAACGAGATTTGAATTTTAAAAAGCTAACCCTGGCATTTATGTTAGAGACTAGATTGTAGTGGAACAAGATTGAAAGCATAAAGACCAGTTAAGAGGCTAGGTAATGGTGACTTTGACTTAGTTGGTGGCATTTGGGATTGAGAGAAATGGGATGCTTTGAAGATGCATGAGAAGATGAGGTCAGTAAAGCCTTGTGTTTTATTGGATGTGTCAATGAGGAATAGGGGTCATGATGGATGACTCTGAAGTGTCTGCTGTGGATACTTGGTTGGATGTGGTGATGCCATTTGTGATCCTGGTCTGGGATGAAGGGAAGTATGGGATGGAGATGATTGGTAGATTTACAGATACTGAATTTAAAGAGCTAGGAAGACATCCAAGGAGAGAAATCCATTAGGCATTTGAAAATATAGATCTAACGCAGGAGAGATATGTGGGCTGAAATATAAATGTTGATGTCATCAGCATATACTATTTATAATTGAGACCATGCAAATAGATCAACTCTTCAGGGAGAGAAGGTAGGTGGAAAATAGAACATGCTCTGGAATTTGTTTTATGTAAATACCGTATCAACACAGAAGTCTTGGAGGACTGAGAACCTGGGCTCACGCCAGATAGCCCTGAGGCCACTGCTTTCCAGCTGCATAGCCTTCACAGGCATCTTACTTCCAAGCCTCACGTCTTTCTCTGCTATGTGGCAAAAGACGTGTATTGGGTGACTGGGAGAGCTAAGTGAAATAATATATGCGGGAGTTATAGACGATACCTGACATTTAGCAAACACTCACGTATATTATTTTAATACCCTAGATAGAAGAAATCCTGTAATCAAGCATGCCGTTATTGTTTGTTATTTATTATTTATTAATACCTATTACTTAGTATACATACTTTTAATAAAATGTGTCACATCACTAATATAAAAACAGTGTCCCCAGGCCTTAAAATTAATTTTTAGACAAAGAAAAAAGTCTTTTAAAAGTTGTGTATAAAAGCTGAGAACTTTGAACATATTCTTAGTTATAAGTTACTCCTATGAGAGTTTTTTAAAACAAGGAAACCAGATTTTATTTTAAGTCAAAACAAGATCCTACCCATAAAACTTAAAATTTCATTTTGAAATGGATTATGAAGATTGCCACACGAAGACAATAACTGCAGTTTTCATATTATATGTGTGTGACTGTCGTGGTTAGTCTTGAATATAATAAGTGACATATAAGATTATTCTACTAGCTCAACAAAATGTTAAAAACAGAACCTCTTTCTCACCTTTTGAATCATTTCTTATTTTACAGGAAAAATCGCTGTAGATCCTTAATTTGTTTGTTTTACTTTCTACCCAATTAGATGTTACACATTTTTGAGAAAATTAACCAGAAATAATTTTTGTGATAATGCCTTAAGTTATCTGTAATTAACAAAAACAATATGAAATATCATGTGGTGCTGTTGACCATCATCATCTCATTCCCACCCTGTATCCTTTGTGTTTTGCATTGTTCCTTTTGCATGGAAGGTCGTCTGCTATGGATTACCATGAGTTGAATGAGGATGGAGAGCTGTGGCTGGTTTATGAAGGGTTAAAACAAGCCAACAGGTTATATTTGTCTCCTCAAAATGCAATGTTATTCATTTGTTGTTTTTCTTACTAACAGTGGCCTCCTGGCTTTAAATTTCGTATTTCTTGTACATTAATTGTCTTCCTAAGTAAATTTTAGTACAACTTAGAGCATTCAACCAAATGCCTTCCTAAAAACCTTCTTTAGTAAGGGATGCTGTTAAAGCTGAAATAGATGATGAATAAGAGTTGCTGCCCGTTAAGTGAAAGATGCTATCTAGATTGCCCTTCAGACACTAAAATTTGTGAATATTTCACTAGGAGTTGGAGAAAAACCCAAAACCTTTCAACTAGAGCTCAAACTACTGTGGGAGAGATTAATACCTATTACTTAGTAGTTTCTTGTTTGGAATAATGATCCATCTAAAGGATATGTATGCCAATGGACGCATGGCTGCATTCCTATATATTGTTGCCATGCTGCTTATCGGCAGTACTAAGTGCCTGACTTGGCATTCTGTGTGGTTATTGTGAAGTTCCAATTTGTGAAACAGCAAATCAGGAGGGTTTCCTGCATTGCTACAGTTCAGAATAATTACCCAGACTCAACATGTTAAATATGTTTAGGGGCAAGCAAATAAAATTGAATCAGCAGCACCTTTCTAACACAGATACTCCTCTGCTCTAGTGATGTTTGTATCCTAAAAATCTCATAAAAATACAATTTTAGTGATTAAGCTGGAAAAATACCTAATAGGCTGTTTGTTCAAGGGGCTCCTGCTTATTCTGCTTTGTTTGTTCTAACCATAAACCATTGTCATTAACTTTGTGGTGTTATTGGCTCAAATCCTCTTGAAATTTTATACTCACTAAAATATTTTTAGTCTGCTGTTAACAGTTTGCTTGCAATGTCATCAATAAATCTTGCCCAGCAGTTGGTAACCACGGGGATTAGAATAAAAGAACATCCTTTCTTTCTTCATGTTAATTCATTACTAACTATAACTTTGTTTTGTGTTTAGAAAGGGGGTGAATGTGGGGTGCATGGTAAAGGGGGGATGCTATTTCTCTCTGCTGTGCTCACTGCTGATGCCTGGGCATAGCTGAGTTGAGTGTTTGCTCAGAGAAGCAGCAGCCACTTTGTTGGTCCTAATTTCTAAAACCATGTCTTGTTAGGATTCTTTTACTGATAGGGAAGTTTATGGGGAGAAAGAAGATGACAGATTTAAAATATTTATATATGAAATTTCAGAACTACCTGTCTGGATTTGGTAAATCTGTATATATTTCAGAGAAGCATTCAGCTGTTCCTTTCTTCACAGATAAGAGTAGAAGGTAAAAAGGGGACCCTGGTTACATACACCCTCTGCCTGAAATTAGTAATGCTGACATTCTTGAAGTCATACTTAATTAGATCAGTTGTTGGTAATCTTGGATCCATAATGCAGTTATTTTGTGGCAAAGGTATGGTCTTTGCCAACTGGAATGCTTGTTTGTCGTCAGCCAGATTGAAGCTGTCTTTTAATTGATGATTTTATTCATCATTCCTGTGAACTCTCAAAAGAGCTAAAACTCTCCTGCTTCTCAGGGCCTTTAATACTTTATATTCGTAGCAGGGCCCACGGTTCAGAAAGATACAAACGTGAGAGCACCGTGTCCAGTTCTGGTCTTGAGTTTCCTGACTTTAATCAAGTCAGAAGTTGCGCAGACACTGGAGCCCCCGCTTTTCCTGCCCTTGCTAGTGAGCACAAAGCCTCGCCCCCCCAGGGCAGGGCCTCTGGTGTCATCACCCTTTCCTACCCGTGTGGCTTCTCCTCAGGCTCCTGGAATCCCAGCTCCAGTCGCAGAAGAGGAGCCATGAGAACGAGGCCGAAGCCCTCCGTGGGGAGATCCAGAACCTGAAGGAAGAGAACAACCGGCAGCAGCAGCTGCTGGCCCAGAACCTGCAGCTGCCCCCCGAGGCCCGCATTGAGGCCAGCCTGCAGCACGAGATCACCCGGCTGACCAACGAGAACTTGGTAAGGGCCTGGCTCTGCAGGGCCCACACCGTCACCCTCTAACTCAGCAGAGATGGAGTGAGGAAATAGGTCTCTGTTCCAGAAATGGAAAAGTCATGTGCACAGATAGTGTTTCTCACAGGAGCTCTCTCAGTTCCACTTGGAGGGTCTGGAAGGTATCAACCAGCTGCATGCTGGGCTCTTGAGATCCTCGAGAACTCACGTGGCCTCTTTTCCACTTCGCTGCAGAATCTCTGCCATTCTCTGCCCTTGGTTATATGGTTGTTGGTTATATGTTTTTTCAGCTGTGGTTCCCAAACAGCCACCGAGGCCACCCCAGCCTCCATCTGTAGCAGACAAGTGGGGGTTAGAGCTATGGTCTGCAAGGCAGTTGGCAGAACCAAAGGGGGACTTTTGGTTGACATTGGATGGAGCTCCCAGGTCATAGAGGAGAGAGAGCAGTATGCAAGTTTATACATTTTTTATTCTTTTAAACAGAACGTGGGCAATGAAATGAGGTCTTTTTTCCCCCCTCCCCAGATTCTGAACAGTGGGAGAAGTTTTTTTCTTTTCTTTTTCTCTTTATTTCATAGAAAGTATTTTCTAGAATATTTCTTTCTCAGTCACAAAATAACTTTTATTACAGATTTATAGATTTTTAAAAATCTACTTAAATTTGATAATATATTTAGTAAATGAAAGGCCATTGAAAAGTAATGATTTCATGTTTCTATATAAAATTTAGATTGTAGTGTCCGCCTAGTTTTGAGAACAGCTGTTTAAGGCTGGTAGTGTTTTGTTTTCTTCTCTTTAATTCAGGGTTTTAATGATCTATAATAAATAATTTGGATTTTCTCTAAAGATTTAACAATCTGAATTATCCCTCCATTACTCCACTAGTGATCATTTATGTTACAGATAGTTTTCTAGTGTCATTTATCCAACTGTCTTTTATATTAATCAGAAGCAAAACACACAGGTGTTCTTTTCAGAGCCCATTTGTCCCCTCGAGGACAGAGGGCACATGTGGGAGGCTCCATTGTAGGAATGGGGGGAAGGCTGAGGGCAGTGTTTGGGCTCTTTCCAAGGTGACTGAAACATCACTGATTTCTGGGGGGAAATCTTCCAGATCATGGACTGAAATGCCTTTTGATTACTTTCAAGTATATTGTTGCTTAAGTTTAACTAACAATGCTTAAATGCCTAAGAATTGATAAATATACTAAATAATATAATAACGATTGATCAGTGTATAAATTTTCTGCTTATAAATGATTGTCTTCAAATACAAGGTGAAACCGTGAAGTAAAGATGCTTCTGGGTGCAGATTCCCAGTTTTTTCATCAAGCTGATTAAGCATTTCCCTTGCAACCTTGTCTGTCGTATTCATTTTCTTGATAATTTTGCATAACTAATACAAAAGTAAACTAAGCCCCCAAATTCTAAGCTGGTAGTCTAGTTAATGATTTTGTCTGAGGTTTAGGAAAATCCTTTGTAGCTCAGCCGCTTCTCCTGCCTCACTGGTAATTCAGGAGACTGGATTCAAACCTAAGTACAGGGAGTGATGCACTTTTTCAAAATCATTGTGGTTTCTCAATGTTAGTTGTGCATTTCTTTAGGAAACACGTGAGCAGAATATTAAAACAGCTGGGAACCTAGGCTTAGGCCTTGGAACTGCTGCCCCAAGTAACCCGCCCGCCCCCCTGCCCCGACACAAACAGAAGGTTTTCCTCCTCCGCTAGTGAACGTGCTTCCCAGGCCGCCCATGCTGCCTTTCAGGGAAGGCAGGCACACAGCTTCTCGCCAGCCTTTTCTGCCTTCAAACAACAGCGCCCATATTGCCATTAATTCTATTTGCCTGCCCTACTCCTGCCACAACTGCTGGCAACAAAAAGTGCAGCAACTTGTGAGCAGGTCCAAGGAGTGAAATAGCAGCCTCACCCAGGGGCTCGACCTCCACTTTGTTCCCCTGCTGACCGATGGCATCCTGGCTGTGGCCTGTTTCCTGTGAGCATATGACACATATGTGTATGCATATAAAGCTGGAATTATCTGTGCCAGAAAGATCAGAGGGCAATGGCAGATGACAAATCAGAGCTCTTTCAGTAGATACAGTTTCATTATTTATCTTAAAATATTTTAAAAATTGATTTTGCTGAGAGGTAGCATTCGCCTCAACAACACAGAGAACAACAAATATCCATTATGCCTGTTTTTTCAGTATTTTGAGGAATTATATGCAGATGACCCTAAGAAGTATCAATCGTATCGGATTTCACTTTACAAACGGATGATTGTATGTAAACTCACGAGTGCTTGTGTGTTGCTTTCTGCACTACTTCTAGCTCTCTGCAACCCAGGGGCTGCCTGCTCCTCCCCAGGACGTCTCTGCAAAAACTCTGATGAAACCTGTTTCTCCCCTACAGCTGTCTGTCAGCCAGTGGTGTCACCTCTACCAGTGTCCTGCGTCCATTGTCGTGTTTGGTTTGTTACTGACTCTAGGCTTGCAGTGTGATGGAAGTCAAAAGTCAACAGCCCCTACCCAAGTTCAACTGTCCTTAAAACTCTCCACAAAACATTTTGTGCATTCATCAAAATTTATTTTGCCTCTTCCCCCTTTCAAAGAAAACATGGCACTTGAATAGTGGTACATTTTACGAGCATTTCATTGTTTTGCCCACGTGGAGTCTACTGGAAAAGACTCCCCAGTGAACCTGCTGTCCGTCACGCTGTAAAGGATTGTACTGCATCGTGTATTTTAACATTCAGCTTTTATTATAGCTGTATTTCCCATGCCTGCCAGTTTCAGCCAGGTGGTGGCTCCACCGATGAGCTTTTCTGGAGCTTTTATGTGAAACTAACAGTGCTGTTTCTATGATTTTGTGTCTGCTTTCCTTCTGTGCATTTTAGAAGACCTATTTTGATCATTCTGTTGTATTTCTCATTTTGACCTTTAGGATTTGATGGAACAACTTGAAAAACAAGATAAGACTGTCCGGAAACTGAAAAAACAACTGAAAGTATTTGCTAAAAAAATTGGTGAACTAGAAGGTATTTTAAACATGTTTTATAACAATTGCTGAATCTTGGTTTTGTAGTGCTATACTAGTGTCCTAATAGGTTTGCATGCGAATATCAGGGATGATAAAAATTACTTTCAGTAAACCTATTGTCTGTGTAGTGGATACTTCCATTTTGAGGTGGGGGGAAATGTTCTTTCCATTGTAGTAACAATTTACAAAGCAAGAGAATCCATTCAACAAATATCAGTGACTACTATGTCAGGCACTGTGCTAGGTTAAAAGCATGGATTCTGCCCTAACTGGTTTGGTTCAGTGGATAGAGCGTCGGCATGCGGACTGAAGGGTCCCAGGTTCGATTCCAGTCAAGGGCATGTACCTTGGTTGCAGGCACATCCCCAGTAGGGTGTGTGCAGGAGGCAGCTGATCGATGTTTCTCTCTCATTGATGTTTCTAGCTCTCTATCCCTCTCCCTTCTTCTCTGTAAAAAAAATCAATAAAATATATATTTTTCTAAAAAAGCATGGATTCTGGAGCTAAGCCTTTTAGATTCAAATCCTGGCCTTCTACTATTAGTCATCTGATATTGGGCAAGTTATTGAACCTCTCGATACCTCACCTGTTAATGGGAATGATAATGGTTTACTTGACATGGTTTGTAAAAATTAAATGAGTTAATATGTATTGCATTACTATAGTTCCTGACACATAGTAAATGCTATATATAACTTAGTTATTATTATTGTTAGTGTTAGGGATACTAAGATTAGTAAGACAGTCTGTATCCTCAAAGAACTTACCATCTAATGCAGATAAAAAGAGAAGTAAGAAAAAAATGAATTATGATTATAAAGAAATAAGATTTTTTTAAAACATCTCATGATTTATATATGATGAGGATGGGAAAATACCTAAGAATGAATCAAATATCCGTTGTTATTATTATATACAAATGAATCTCATCTTGTAGATTTGTGTGTTTTTTCCTTCAGATTAGGGTATTTATTTAGGTACCAGGAATATAGCAGTGATCAGGGCTAAAGCCAAATTCTAACAAACGCCATTGTTCAAGAGATTTAGGGATCTTCTTTGGTACTGCCTTCAAATGTATGCAAACTATGATCATTTTGAAAAAAAAAATGATACTGTGTTGTTGTCTGACCTCTCTATCCTCTCAATGTCGCTCTGCTTCGAAGGGTTGCCGGGAACCAATTCCAGCATGTCATAATTTCAAGAGTTTCATCAAAAGGTTGATGAGACTTGGGGACTCAACAGGGTTGAGTCACACATGTAGTCACCTGTTGGGAATGGCTAAAGGCATTTCCCCAAACCTGAATAGGAAACTGATTGTGGCTGCCAGACAGCTAAAAGGCATCTTAATCTACATGTTATTGCCTCCTACTGGCCAAACACCTGAACAGCTGTAGGCTAATTCCCCCATTCTGACAATGTTTCTGTATACCCTTTGAAGTGTATATCTCTGCCTCAGGACAAGTTGTGTTAATGAAAAGCATGGGGTCCTGGGGACAGAGATCTTAGACTTAAGATCTTGGATATTAGCTCCTTTAGCTAAGCTCCTCTGACCCCCAAATGCCTTTCAAAATTGTATCTCGTTTCCGGACTCTTGATTAGTCTCTGGATTCCTATGTCATCTACGCACAGCCCCTTCTCCAGATTCCTGAACCCTTCTTGATGCTGGGACAAGAACCCCGGCAAGGGTGAAGAGTCCCTAGCACTGGGAATGGTCACAGTAACTTACCATGATTCACTCTGTGGTTTTCATTCTCCAACATGCCAGGCATGTTGGTCTTTCTTTTTCTCTTGGGCAAGTTCTGCTCATCCTTTGAGAAGATCAGAGTCATGTGTCACATCCTCAAGAGCATGCTTTCCTGATCACCCAGACAGACCTTATGGCTCCCACTCTATGTATCACAGCTTGACTCACTCTTGTGGTTTTCACTTTGTATTCCCTTGGATATACAAATGCTGAAAGATTTATTTAGAAATCAGATTACTTGGCTGTCGTATTTTATATATAATATTTTATATATAATCCTTATAGCATTATTGGAATAAAGTTTTGAATCTCCAAATTACACACATGGGCTAAAATGTCTATTGGCCCTAGCTAGTTTGGGTCAGTGGATAGAGCATCAGCCTGCAGACCAAAGGGTCCTGGGTTCGATTCCAGTCAAGGGCACATAACCTCAGTTGCAGTCTCCTCCCTGGCCTGGGCCCTTGTCCAGGCATGTGCAGGAGGCAACCAATTGATGTGTTTCACTCACATTGATTTTCTCTCTCTGTCTTTCCCTCTCTCTTCCACTCTCTAAAAATCAATGGAAAAATATCCTCGGGTAAGGATTAAAAAATAAAATGTCTGTTGGCAGAACTTTGAAAACCATTATTCACAAAACATTTCTGCACTTAACTCTGCATTAATTATATCATGAGATGATAATTAGATTGCAGAGTATTTGCTTGAAAGAAACTGATTTCAAGAGTATCAATTTGTGAGATTATTTTTTAAAAACTCCTAATTGTTTCACTTATTTTAAGTTTTTACTAAGATTTCTTTGATATGTATTTTTTTAATTAAAGAGATAGATTAGGATATTTCGAGATGCTAGCAAGTTGAAGCCATTATCAATCAGAAATCTTCTGGTCAGTTAAACTATCCTGCCAACTATGTTCTTAAACCTGTAAGTAGCACTTGAGGAGGCAATTCATAGATTAAACAAAAAGATCATTAGAATATCCTTAAGAAAAGTTGAAAAACTGATGCATGTCTAAAGTATAAAATGAAATCAGTTTATTTGATCTGGGCCCTTGTTGAGAACAGTATTCCCCCACCTCCCAGAATTAGAGAATAAAGGTGACAGGCTCCTCCAACATTTTTTCTGTCCCATACCCCCCATTATTCAGAAAATACTGGCAACCTTGTACAGCGAAGCACCTTCTAATATATAGAAATCTTCGTATATTTTTAAAAATGTATATTATAGTATACTTAAGTTCTTCTTATTTAAAATAGGAGGTTCTTGCCTTCTTCTATGAGTTACATTTAATTACGGAGACTTTTGTAGAAGCCAATGAAAACTTTTTTAAACATCAACATATATAATTTTAGCAGAAATTACATAGCTAAATGGAAAGTGTTTCAAAATTTCATCTGTGTTGTGTTATATTTTAATCCAAGAGTGGGTGTTCATCTCAGTTTTCATGGAGTCAAGGAATTTAGATCTTAAAGAGTTCTAGAAATGGGTTAATCATATTATAGGAGGAAAAATATTGAGGCTCAGAAACCATAACTGACTTCCAAAGACTCATCCAGTTAGTGGCCAAACTAGGACTAGAACCCAAGTCTTCTGAGAACCACTGACTTCTTTCCTTTGTGTCATGTTTTCCAACGGAATCTCTCTATTTATAGGAATTTATTTGACTGCCTCAATTAAACGGTGACCAAGCTCTTCCTGGTACCAAAGTGAGGAAAAATAAATTAAAATAAAAGTCTAGCCCTAGCCAGTTTGGCTCAGTGGATAGAGCATTGGCTGGCAGACTGAAGGGTCCCTGGTTTGATTCTGGTCAAGGGCAGGTATCTAGGTTGCAGGCTCCTTCCCTGGTCAGGGTGCGTGAGGATGTGTCTCTCTCACATCGATGGTTCTCTCTCTCTCTGTCTCTCCCCCTCTCCCTTCCACTCTCTAAAAAACCAAGGGAAAAATATCCTCAGGATTAATAACATCAACAACAAAAAATTCTAGTGTCCTTTCCTTTTCCAGGACAAAAAGGTTCAAGAATGTTTTTCCTCTAGTAAAAAGAATCTATGAGATAGAAATAGGGATCACTTCAGGTCTTTCTAGAAGGAGGTCGGTATTAGATGGAGCATTGGACTGGATGATCCCCCAAAGTCTCTTTTGTCTTTGAAAACTGGGCTGGTGTCCTGGCTTCTCTCTTTCAGACTTCATGCTTTTCTGATGCCATACAAGGGTTGACGTTTTATTTTAATAGCAGATGATTTGCTAAGTGAATCAAGGTTATATTGAGTTGACATCTATATATTTTTAAAGATTTTTTTTATTGATTGGTTTTAGAGAAAGGGGGAGAGAGAGAGAGAAAACACACAGATTTGTTGTTTTATTTATTTATGCATTCATTGGTTGATTCTTATATGTGCCCTGATGGGGGATCGAACCCACAATCTTGGTGTATTAGGATGATTTTCTAACCAACTGAGCTACCCAGCCAGGGCTGACATCTACACTTAATCTGTGAGGTTTTTTTAATTTATTTATTACTTATTTTATTTCTTTTTATTGATTTCAGAGAGGGAGAGAGAGATAGAAACATCAATGATGAGAGAAAATCATTGATCAGCTGCCTCCTGCACATCCCCTATTGGAGATCACACTTGCAACCCAGGCATGTGCCCTTGACCTGAATCGAACCTGGGACCCTTCAGTCCACAGGCCGACGCTCTGTCCACTGAGCCAAACTGGTTAGGGCTATCTGTGAGCTTTTTATCTGTGAGGTTTTTTAAAATTTATTTATTATTTATTTTATTTATTTTTATTGATTTCAGAGAGGGAGAGAGAGATAGAAACATCAACGATGAGAGAAAATCATTGATCAGCTGCCTCCTGCACATCCCCTATTGGGGATCACACCTGCAACCCAGGCATGTGCCCTTGACCTGAATCGAACCTGGGACCCTTCAGTCCATAGGCCGACGCTCTATCCACTGAGCCAAACTGGTTAGGGCTATCTGTGAGTTTTTATAAAGACTCAAATCTCTTGGGAGAATTCAAAGGCAGAGAGAAAAATTTTAATTAAAGTATGGCAAATTTTGTCTTTGACATTTTATACAGAACCAAAAATATCTTGGTTAGAGATTTTGCAAAAGGAAACTGAAGCTTTCTTTTAAAACATATTTCATAAATTCTGAGGTGCACAATTTTTGACATTTTAACATCTCTGAAGTCAGGATGTGTCTTTCAACTGTTGATGGGTTATAGCTTAATTGCAGTGTTTTCCTCCTTAAGTGTTATATAAAATAATGGTATTTCATAGTTAATGGCACCATAGGTATGATGAAATAAGTAGGTATAAAGCATTCTCTTTACATCATATGGAGTCCAAATATGTATATTTATTGATGAACTTAATATGCTGAGTCTGTTTCCTCCCAGTTTCCCCTCTTAGGGTTATTTCTTTGGCTGAAAGCAACTAGTAATCTAGTTAGTAGAGATTTTATTCTTTTGTATTGTACATGTAGCATGTATGTGAGCTGTTAAGACCTCTTTGTACAGATTTCAATATCCTGGCGCTGTTATGTTTAAACTGACTCCAGAAATAATTTTGTAAAACTGAATAGTTTGAATCTTCTATCTCTGTGTGGAGGCACACATTTCACAGGTTACCTTGGTTTCCAGACTGGCCATGCACATGAAGCACTAGGTGCCACAGCCCTGATTTGTCCAACCACAGTGCGGTCACTCCTCTGATGGCTGGTGGCCATCTTCAGCACTGCTAGTCTTGGTGCTGCAGCAGGAGCTCTGACAGCTGTTGGTATTCTCTCCCATAGCGTCTTCCTGTGGAACTGGATTCCCAGACCCAACACAAGATTGCCCCAGAGTGACAGGAAAGCACGCTGACACCTTGTGCAGTCAGCAGCACTAACCTTTCTGATGCCTCTGATCTGCATCTTGTTTGCAGGTCTCTGAACTCAAATTAATCTTCACCTGAACAGGTTTCTTAACTGCCCCCTTCGTATAGGTAACACAGCCTGCTCACTAGCATGTGTCTGCACAAACACCACAGAACTCGAACTCCTGTGTTCCCATACCTTCTCTTGCATTTCCCATTTAGTCTTAATTCTGAGGTGATATTGGAGACTTTTTGAATCCTTAGCATTATTCTTCTCCAGCAGCTGCTACTGACAGTAGTAGTGACCACTTTTAACCTCTGAACAGGTTAGCTGTGCTTTAATGGTTGCAACGAGACTTTTTGAATCCTTGGCATTATTCTTCTCCAGCAGCTGCTGACAGTAGTGACCACTTTTTACCTCTGAACAGGTTAGCTGTGCTTTAATGGTTGCAACTTCATGGTAGGACTGTTAGCCCTTTACTAGAAACAGATAAACAAAAACTGGGTAGTATTTAGGAAATTACATTAAATAGAGGTGGTTTTATCTGCTCTTTATTTCTTTAGGAATAAGGGATGGTGGGAGCAAGTTAGGTCTTTGTCTTGGGAAGCCTCTGTGAAAAAGAAAACATTTCACATCAACTAGTATGAAGACACACTATCCTACCAGCTCTCATGTGGTTTGAACTGATTGCAATGATACATTTAAAGTCAATGTTCTTTTTCTTTAATGACTAGATTCATAGAGCTGAAAGTGAGGGAAATCTACAGTTTTTCTTCCTTTTTGTAGAATATTATGTTTTTCCTTCTGTCCTTCTGTGATTTAAAGTCTAAATATATTCAGCTATTTATGATTAATAACAATTCATTAACCAAGAAGTTAAAACAGTAACTTTGGGAACATTTAACCTTATTACAGAGTAAATTTATTATCCCCCCCCCCCAAAGAAAAATGCTTTTGAATCACATAAGGTTCTCTAACGTTAATAGTAACCCAGCACTGGTGGCTGTCAGTGACATCACCATACAGTTTTGTCATTTACAGCCAATTTTAGCAGAAAAGGTAATTAAAGTAGGGACAGTTAAAAAATTAAATATATTTGCTTGGAAAAAAACAAATAATAACATAAAAAGGGGACAATTAAGTGGCAAATATGGCACTTTTTGTTGTTATAGAATTCATCATTTAAAATTATAGGAACATGGAACCTTCTCATCTTTTCTCCCTGGAAAACCTTTTTTTCTCCTTTTTGTTTCTCATGAAGTGGGCCAGATGGAAAACATATCCCCAGGACAGATCATTGATGAACCCATCCGTCCAGTCAACATTCCCAGGAAAGAAAAGGATTTCCAAGGAATGCTGGAGTACAAGAAGGAGGATGAGCAAAAGCTTGTTAAGAACCTGATTCTGGGCAAGTGTTTTCTTTTCTTCTATTCTCTCAGTTCTGCAGGCTAGGAAGTCCAAGATCAAGGTCCCAGTTAGTTTGGTTCCTGGTGAGGACTCTCTGGCTGGCTTGCCAACAGCCCTCTTCTGGCCGTCCTCACAGAAACAGAAGAGAAAATGGAGGGGGGATGGGATGGAGGGAGGAGGGAGAGAGAAAGAAAGAGAGATCTCGAGCACACAAGTATTTTGTGCCTGGGATAAAAGGTCTTTCTGGTACACCTGTCAGTGGTGGGAAAGACTAGTCACTGGTTTTTGAAATATTCAACACCAGTTTCTTTAGTCTTCATTACGTACTGCGCGTTTGGCGCTGCAGAAGCATCCTGGCCGCCATGCACTGTCAGTCAAACAGCAGGGACGCTTGCCTAGGAAGCAAGTCCATCCATACAGATCCCTGGAGGCCAGGCCTTCTCAGCTCTGGTTAGACTAACCTGGAAGCTTTTGAAAAGTATTGTTGTATGGTCCCCACCACAGACTGATCACATTACAATCTAGAGCAGTGGTTCTCAACCTTCTGGCCCTTTAAATACAGTTCCTCATGTTGTGACCCAACCATAAAATTATTTTCGTTGCTACTTCATAACTGTAATGTTGCTACTGTTGTGAATCGTAATGTAAATATCTGATATGCAGAATGGTCTTAGGCGACCCCTGTGAAAGGGTCGTTCGACCTCTAAAGGGGTCGCGACCCACAGGTTGAGAACCACTGATCTAGAGGGAAGAGACTGGCCATGTCTAATGTTTTTTAAAAATCTTTCAAAGAATTGACCAACACTGCTCTAGGCCATTTGCATTTCTGAATTTCTGTTTTCTTTGCTTCCCTAGAAAGTATATGACAGTTCAATAATAGAGGAAAAATACACACACAAAAGAATTAAGGAAAATATTTTAGCAATGGAAGGAGAAGGCCAGACAAATGAAATGGGTGTGGAAGAAGCATTTCAGAGCAGCCTTGGAGATTGCTCTGAGGAATACTTTTTAGGGGAGGGTGGGAAATGGTTAAGGAGTGTGCACAGTTCTGAACTGAATGCTGAACACCTCTCAGCCTTTGTATAGCATTCCTCCCCCAGGTGCCAGGTGACAGCAGTGTGATTGGCAGTTACACCTGATGAAGTTCCTAAGGTTCCTGGCATTAAACTTAGTACTGTATTTAGGTGCAGAGGTGCTAAAAGTTCAACCTGATTTTCATTTAGCAAAAATGTTAAGGAGCCACTGATTTTTAAACATAGAGTTTAAGTAAAGATTCATCAGTTCAATAAACATTTAGTATGCTCTTACCAAGTGCCAAGCATTTTCTGTGCTGGGTAACAGAGAGAGTAGAGTCCCTATTCTCATATAACTTATATTCCAGTGCGAGAGAAGATAGAGGAAAAAGCCCTAGCTGGGTAGCTCAGTTGGTTAAACATCGTCCCGATATGCCAAGGTTGTAGGTTCCATCTCCAGTCAGGGTACATACAAGAATCAACCAGTGAATACATAAGTAAGTGGAGCAACACAAATTGATGTTTCTCTCTCTCTCTCTTTCTCTCTTTGTCTCTGTCTCTGTCTCCTCTCTCGCCTTTCCTCTCTCTCTAAAATCAATCAATAACTAAAAAAGAAAATAGAAAAAAATAAACAAATATATAATGGGGTAAAAAGGATGAAGAGTGAAGGCAAATGTACTAATTTATATAAAATTAGAGGCCCGGTGCACGAAATTTGTGCACAGCAGGGGGGGGGGTTGTCCCCTCAGCCCAGCCTGCACCCTTTCCAATCTGGGACCCCTCAGGGGATGTGCGACTGCTGGTTTAGGCCCTGGGATTGGGCCTAAACCGACAGTCGGACATCCCTCTCACAATCCTGGACCGCTGGCTCCTAACCGCTCACCTGCCTGCCTGCCTGGTTGGTCGCTCCCAACTGCCCCCCGCCCCCGGCATGGTTGCCCCTAATGGGCCCCCTGCTGGCCTGGTCACCCCCAACTGCCCTCCCCATGCCGGCCTGGTCGTCCCTCACTGCCCCCCCTGCTGGCCTGGTTGCCCCACGCAGCCTGCTGTTCTCCGTCCTGGTCGTCCCTCACTGCCCCCCCTGCTGGCCTGGTTGCCCCACGCAGCCTGCTGTTCTGTCATTTGGTCGTCCCTCACTGCCCCCCCTGCCGACCTGGTTGCCCCATGCAGCCTGCTATTTAGTCGTTTGATCATCCCTCACTGCCCCCCTGCCAGCCTCGTCGCCCCACGCAGCCTGCTGTTTGGTAGTCCGTCCAATTGTTTTGGTAGTGATGGCCCCTGGCTTTTTATATATTAGGATTGTTAGGAAAGGCCTCTTTGACCAGGTGATCTTTGGACAGAGACTGAGGAAGTAAGGAAGCAGTTCATGCTGATGATATCTGAGGAAGAACATTCCAGGCAGAAAATAGTTGGCACATAGGCCCTGGGGTGGGGGCATGCCTGGCACGTTCAGCCAATCACAAGGAGACCCATTTTACTGGAGCACAGTGATCTGGGGCAGGGGATCAGACCTGATCACACAGATCATGCTGAGTATTTGGTTTTTAAATGAATGAGGTGAGAAGCTACTTGGAAGATTTTCATAACAAGAATGACATGATCTGACTGACATTTTCCTATAGAATTACTCTGGTTGTTGGGTGAAAATGTACCACTGGAGAGCGAGGGATGGATCAGAGACCACAATCCAGGAGGAGATGGTGGGGACCTAGACCAGGGCAGCTGGTAGCTGGATTCTGGATGTGTTTTATAGGTAAAGCCAACAGAATTTGTTGATGGATTAGGTGTGTGGTGTGAGAAAAAGAAAGACATCAAAGGTGATGACAGGTTTATAACCTGAGAACCCAGAAGGCTGGAACTGCCATTTACTGAGAGGGGGACAACTCCTGGAAGAGCAGGTACCATAGGAATGGAGTTTGGTTTGGATGGGCTCAGTCTGACATGTCTGAGCTGAGATGCCAATAAGGCATTTGATCCAAGAAACTAGAATTCAAGGGAAAGGTCAGGGCAGAAGATAGAGATTTGGGAGTTGTCTTGGCAAAGACAACTAAAATTCAACATGTTCCCACCCTCAAAAACTTCTCTTACTGAGCTATTAAAATATGCTTTTTATGTGACCTATTTACCCTGAATGATTGGACTCTCACATGAGAACTGGGCTTTCATTGTCTCTCAAAGCACATCTCATGAAGACTGTCGGTGTTAGGTACGATTGTTTTTTCTCTCTTCTCTTCTCAGAACTGAAGCCACGTGGCGTAGCAGTCAACCTGATCCCAGGGTTACCAGCGTATATCCTGTTCATGTGTGTTCGACATGCCGACTACCTGAACGATGACCAGAAAGTAAGGTCGCTGCTAACATCCACAATTAACAGCATCAAAAAAGTATTAAAGGTCAGTCATGTTTAACAAAATTCTCATAATGAGTATTAATAACAGAACCTGCATGTAGGGACTTTTTCTTCCTCAGCCTTGAGGAAGGTGTGAACACTTTGCAGTTTTAACTGCTACCTTCCACTGTGGAAATGTACCACAGTAGGAAACGTTTTTTCTTACAGATTGTCTATATGCTTCTTCAAAACAGGGCTCAGGATAAACAATAATCAAAACTAATTTGATTTCATTGCATTTAATTGTGGAGAAAATTGTTTCTTCATAGACAGAAATAGTCTGCTTTTAAGGTCTTAGAAGTAAATTTAAAATATTTAATGGAGTCCATCATATACAGGGAATATGATGCTATAGTTAAAATAGGTATTAAATAAGTTCAATAATACATGGCTCATTCTTATAAAAAGATATTTGATGAAATAAAGTTTTTCTTTGAACTTTTCTTCACCCGTAACTTTCCTTGTCACCTGTGCCTGATTCCACGTGAGAAGCAACACACAGATACTAATCAGAAAGGAAAGGCTGGAAAAAGACAGAAAAATTATGTACTAGAGCAGGAAGTCCTACGTAATGACTCAGTAATCACTAAGTCACGTTGCATAATCCTCCTCCTGACTCTAGAAAAACAATGAACGTTATTCTTAGTTTTAACTCTGGTGTTTCTGTGAGGAGCTAAGAGAATGTGTTCTAAATACTTTGCTTTCTGATTATCTGACTTAAGGAGAATTTTTAGGATGGAGATAAGTGGATAGTTAACATGCCCAGAAATCTAAGATGTCTTTCATGAAATACTTTTTTTATTGTGGTAAAACATACATAACAAAAAATTATAGCATTTAACCATTTTTTTATCCTCACCCAAGGATATGTGGAGTTTTGTTGTTTATTTGTTTGTTTTTATTGATTTCACAGAGAGAGAGCAAGAAACATTGATGTGAGAAAGAGACCTCAATTGGTTGCCTCCCATATGCGCCCCGACCGGGAATCCAACCCAAAACCTGTGTATGTGCCCTGACCAGGGATCAAATCCTCGGCCTTTCAGTGCATGGGATAATACTCCAACCAGCTGAGCCACCCGGCCAGGGCTTAGCCATTTTTCAGTGACCAGCTCTGTGCATTAAGTGCATTCATCTTGTTGTGCAGCCATCACCACCATCTCCAGAGCCTTTCATCTTCCCCATCTGAAACTCTGCACTCGGGAAACACACCCCTCCCCCCAGCGTCTGGTCATCACCTTTTGACAGATGCTAGTTCTCAGTCCCTATTGCTAAGATGTTCTCTGTAGTTATATTCTACAGTAGTTACCGAAGTGTGGAATTTCTGAAGATTTACTATTTAAAAATTGATGAGCATCTTGTGAATATAATTCATTTCATTTTTGGTGTATTGATGCTCTGTTGCACTTAGATAGACTACAAGTTTTGCTAATTCTTAAGCCAACTTTTACAAAGACAACAAAACCAAATCTAAGGTTTTCTCCCTTTCATCTTAATTGCCAGAAGGCATTTATCTAATTTGACCAGTTATTGTACCAGATTGTTTCAAGATTACCAAAGGGAGGGTACTAGAACCTAACACCCTTTTGATACCGTTTAAAATTGATGTGCATTTGTCACACATCCCTTTTTGAAATGAAGTATATTTGTCTTGTATCCTCACGAGAGGATAGCTTTTCATTTATTTGTTTATTTATTTTTAGAGAGAGTGAACAGGGAGGGAGGGAGTGGAAGAGAAAGAGAAACATCGATGTGAGAGAGACACATCATGGGGCTGGGGATAGAAACTGCAACCCAGGTACATGCCCTTGACCGGGAATAGAATTTGAGACCCTTTGGTGCACAGGCTGCCACTCTAACCACTGAGCACACCAGCCTGGGCTCTGTTTTGATTTAGCAATGAGTTTTTTGGACATGTGTCCCAGTCCTGATAAAGAGACAAGTAGCTTCCCTTGTGTACTGCTCTGCACTGGACTTCCTTCATCCCATTTCTGATTCACTGCTCAAAAATTGTATCTTTTCACCCTGGCTGGTGTGGCTCAGTTGGCTGGGCATTGTCCCGTGCACCAAAAGGTCACTGGTTCAATTCCCATCAGGCACATGCCTGGGTTGTAGGCTCGATCCCTAGTAGTGGGTGTGCAGGAGGCAGCTGATTGATGTTCTGCTCTCACATTAATGTTTCTCTCTCTCCTTCTCCTTTCCTCTTTCTAAGAAAACAATTTAAAATCTTTTTTTTCTTAATTGTATCGTATCACTGACATGATGTTTGACCTGATCCGGGTTTCAGTGTTTCAGTCTTTCTGGTTCTCCTTTGTGATTTATAATTGTTTATAATGGTAACTGAAAGAATGGGCCTTCTGGTATCTGTTCAGTTATTTTTCAGATTGTTATTTCCCCAAGAAAAAAAGCAAATTTAGGCTTATTCTCTCTTTCAGAAAAGAGGTGATGATTTTGAAACCGTTTCCTTCTGGCTCTCTAACACTTGCCGGTTTTTGCACTGTTTGAAGCAGTACAGCGGAGAAGAGGTGAGAAAAACATGATTATAAAACCAACATGCTGTGCCTTCTCTGATCTTTTTAAGGACAATGTTTAACCATTGGTTAATTTAGAAACCTGAATTCAGAGGTGGCTTGGAAGTTCATAGTTTTGTTTGATGTTTATTATTTATGGAACAGTGACTGTGGGGAACAACAAAGTTTCTTTCCTCTGAGAGTTTGTATTATAAGAAAACACAATAGAAATAAAGTGAGCATTGGTCAATGAATAGTTGGAACAATGAAACTTTTTGTCAATATGTGGAAGTGGACTAGTCAAGGACTCTTTAAAAATTAAACAGTTTTAGCTTACTATAATGCTTTAAAGGTGATAAGTTAAGACGTGTCTTTTTAAATTTGTCCAAAAATCTGTTTGGCTTTTGTTTGTAATGATGTATTCATCAATTGTTTGGCAGACTTTATTTTTTTAAATGTAATATGTTAATAATTACTGTTTATTAAGGGCTGCTTACTATGCATCAGACAGCACTTACTAGACACTATGTCACTTAATTCTTGCTACATTTCTGTGCGGTAGGGATTATGACCCAGTTTTACAGATGAGGAAACTGAAGCTCAGTGAAGGTCATCCATTTGCCCGAGTCCTCTCAGCCATAGGAGCAGGGCTAGGATTCTGGGTCTGCCTGCCTCCGAGAGCCCGTGCCCCTAACCACTCCCCTGCACCTAACCACTCCCCTGCACCTAACCACTCCCCTGCACCGCCCATCCTTTGCCAGGAGGGTAGAAGAGAAACTGAGCTGTAGCACTTGCTGAGCACCCAGACAGAGGCTCGGGGCAGAGGACGGTCCTGGCAAATTATGGCAAATGTGGGCAAGATGTGGTCCCTGGGAAGGTGGGACTGACAGACCAGAGTTCGCAGAGGGGCCATTCGCTGCCCTGTCATTCCCACTTCTGGACCATATTGTTAAGGACTATGGGCAGAACCCATCAAGTGGGCTTCTGTCAGATATTGCCCTTTGGCAGGCAATAGCAGACAGAAGTACTTTCTTGTACCGTTGTCTTTCCATTTTATTTTATTTTATTTTTATTTTTTTTATTTTATTGATTTTTCACAGAGAGGAAAGGAGAGGGATAGAGAGTTAGAAACATCGATGAGAGAGAAACATCGATCAGCTGCCTCCTGCACACTTCCCACTGGGGATGTGCCCGCAACCAAGGTACATGCCCTTGGCCGGAATCGAACCCGGGACCCCTCAGTCCGCAGGCCGACGCTCTATCTACTGAGCCAAACCGACTAGGGCTCCATTTTAACAAAATACCACCAAAAGATGAAAATCATCTGTGGATACCATGAAAGGAAAACTTTTTATGTATCTACCAGTCTCTGTAGAAAGTCGATCTGTTTTAAGCTTATGTATGCCCTTTGGGTACAGTATTTATAAATAGGACTATATTTAATGAACTGAAGTTTAAACATGTTAGTACTTTAGGTAGTTTAGTGTTTGGCAATAAACTTCATGTTTCATAAGTGAAACATTAATTTTTTTACAATCCTCATCAGAGGATATGTTTTTATTGATTTTAGAGAGAGATGAAAGAAGCGGGGGAGAGAGAGAAACATCGATCAGTTGCCTTCCGTACGTACCCCAACCCAGACCAGGGATTGAACCGTGACGTTTTGGTATATGGGACCATGTTCAACTAACTGAGCCACACTGACTAGGGCAATTTTTTTTAGATTAAGTTCTCCCATCCTATTTTATTGACATAAAATAGCTATTGGAAAGGAAATGCTAGTTGCCAAGTTTAGGTATTATTCAAAAGCTAGTAAGAAGTGGAATTTTAAAGATGGAAACAAACACACATACTGAAAATGATTATCCTGGCATTTATGTGTGGGATGGATGGAAACTCTGTGAAGAGAGAAAAAGAACGGGAAGATGCTGATCAAGCGAGTCTGACAGACAGCAGACATCTCACTTCCTGTGCATCATTAACTCTGCGTTGTGGCTCTAGGGCTTTATGAAGCACAACACATCTCGCCAGAACGAACACTGCCTCACCAACTTCGACCTGGCTGAGTACCGGCAGGTGCTAAGTGACCTGGCCATTCAGATCTACCAGCAGCTCGTGCGGGTGCTGGAGAACATCCTTCAGCCCATGATCGGTAAGGCCAGGGCGTCGCGGACATCAAGTCTGTCCACCTCACATGCCCACCAGTAGACAACCACCAGTGGCACAACATGTCTCAGAGCATGTATTCAAACGGAGAACATAAAATGGTCCTAAAATTAGCTGAGGAATCCCAGAACATGGGATGTTAGCCATGACTAACTGGAATACATCAGAATCACTGCTTCCACACGACCAAGGCAGCAGTATCTAGTTTCCCTCCCCAATGTGCAGTACCGCTCTCTAAGATTGGGTAATGCTGTGTACCCAGCAGTAGACCTTATTCCTTGTCCAGTTTTGAAAACCACTTCTTCAAACTTTGGCCTAGGAAACTACTATGCTACATCTAAAACTAGGAAGGCTGGGGAGGGTTTGCACTTTGACTAACGAATAGGCTACAGTAAGAGAAGTGGGAGGGTACCATGGCAACAGAACAGGGCTCAGACACCCCAGGCTAAGTTGTACATCTCATGGTCCTTCTGGGATTGTTAAAGGCTATTTGGTTTAATGCAGCAGTTTCTAATTCAATGATCCCCACTGTGTGTGTGTGTGTGTGTGTGTGTGTGTGTGTGTGTGTGTGTGTACTTGTGTGTTTCTGTTTCTATATATGTGTTTTCAGCTAATGTGATTCCATGTACCTCCCTTCAAATGTGTGCACTCATTCTGCATGTTTATTTATGTATCATGCTGCACTGTGGAATGTGTAGCATGTTTGAAGTCGGAATTAGGGGGCATGTACAGATTGCAGGCTGCTAACTTTAAATGCATTGAATTAAAAACACACACACACTTGTTTTTAACTTACCAAACTCTCGTCCTCAGGCAGATTATCAGTAGCCTCTGAAGACTGCTCCCAGCTGCTCTTTCCTCCCCACCCATGTGTTTTCCTCATTTCCACAATTTCTTTCCCTTCTGTGGGCCCAGAGTGTTCCATTTTCTATCATAAGCCCACAACCAAACTAGAAACATAACAGGCTGAGGAAACCATGTGAGTCGGGTGATTTCTTCAGTCGTCCCCTGAAGTCATGAGTTTAAAGCAGCCTAGGCCAGCCAAAATGCAAGGAAGGTCAGCTTCAGCCAGACTCTTTTCCTATTTGTGCCTATTTTTATTGGCTAAACAAGAAGTTTACCTCTAAGGCAGTGGTTCTCAACCTTAGCTGCACATTAGAATCACCTGGGAATCTTTTTAAAATCCTGATTTCTGGGCCTCATCCTCTGGAAATTCTGTTTCTTTGTTACTGATGTTGTGGGCCCTTGTGGCCCCACCCCATAACAAAGAAACAGAATTTCCGGAGGATGAGGCCCAGAAATCAGGATTTTAAAAAGATTCCCAGGTGATTCTAATGTGCAGCCAAGGTTGAGAACCACTGCTCTAAGGTGTCTCCCTTAAACCCACCACCCAATCCCCCAGTGATTCAACAGCAACAGTGTTGACTGAGGTTCTTGGAGGCTGAGGTTAGCACTAGGAGAAATAAAAGTGAGTCAGGCTTGGCCCTTGCTCTCAAGGGGCTCCCAGCCCAGGAGGAGGCGTCCCAAAACCGTCCTAGAGGACACTTAGGCTACATGTTATGAGAGCGCAGGAGATGAGCAGCCGTGCCCCAGAGGAGAAGGCTGAGTCCTGGGAGGATAAGCTCAGGGCAAGGAAGGGCCCAGCTTTTCAGCCCTGCACAACTGCCCCGCCCAAGTCTTCTCCAAGACCTCTGCCCGGCTCCTGCCTTTCTTCTTCTTCTTTTTTTTAAACACATATTTTATTGATTTCAGAGAGGAAGGGAGAGGGAGAGAGAGATAGAAACATCAATTATGAGAGAGAATTAATGATCAGTTGCCTACTACATACCCTATACTGGGGATCGAGCCTGCAACCCAGGCATGTGCCCTAACTGGGAATCAAACCATGACCTCCTGGTTCATAGGTCGACATTCAACCACTGAGTCACACTGGCTGGGCAGGCTCCTGCCCTTGCTACTTGATTTGTTTGCCTCTGGGGCTCACACAGCGCTGGAGAACGCTCATCTTCTCCTAACTGCTGCATACCTCTCTCAGAACCCTCCCAAGGTACCACACCCTGGTGCTAGTGCAGGCTGCTGCTTCTTAGTTTAGAAAATACACCATTAAGATTTCTTAATTTCATAACAAGTTTTTGCATTTAAGAATTATCCCTTTATTAAAGTTGAAAATCCAGAAGCTTTTTGGGGGGAGTTCTTTTTCCCTCTGTTTTGATGCTCAGATCATTTTCCTAAACTGAATGTGTGAATGTTTGTGCACACGAAACGGTGTCCTTCCAGATCCTCTTCTAACGTGAACTATTCATGCAGTCTCAGGCATGCTGGAGCATGAGACCATTCAGGGCGTGTCCGGGGTGAAGCCCACAGGGCTGAGGAAGCGGACCTCCAGCATCGCCGACGAGGGCACCTACACACTGGACTCCATCCTCCGGCAGCTCAGCTCCTTCCACTCGGTCATGTGTCAGCACGGCATGGACCCCGAGCTGATCAAGCAGGTGGCCAAGCAGATGTTCTACATCGTGGGGGCCATCACGCTGAACAACCTCCTCCTGCGGAAGGACATGTGCTCCTGGAGCAAAGGCATGCAGATCAGGTGAGAAACGCCAGCAGTGATGGCCTCTTCTCGCTGCCCCACCACTGCCTGCCAGCGTGCGGGGAGCTGATGGCAGGCTCGAGGTCAGTGCACCTGATGTCTGTCTGGGCCACAGCCAAGCAGCAAAGGGAGCGTGGGCACGGAGCCACGTCCTGCGGCCTGGCTGGCCCTCTCCTCGGTCATCACTGCTCCGCTGTGCCTCCAGCAGGTTCCACTCACTGCTAAGCTAAGTCTTCAGAGGGAGTGGAAAGATGATGAAAAACACATAAAGAGGGGATAGTTGCTTCCTCTTCTTTCATGTGTATTTTATTTTTTAAATATATTTTTATTGATTTCAGAGACGAAGGGAGAGGGAAAGAGAGATAGAAACATCAGTGATGAATGAGAATCATTGATTGGCTGCCTTTTGCACGCCCCCTACCAGGGACCAAGCCGAAACCCGGGCATGCACCCTTGACCAGAATCAAACCCGGGACCCTTCAGTCCACAGTCCGACTCTCCGCTGAGCCTAACTGGCTAGGGCGTTTGTGTGTGTTTTAATTGTACAGTAACAAAATATCAAATAATAATGAAGAATTATAATGCTTGGTTGCTCTTGGAAATTTATTTTAACAAAATACCTTTCTGTACTGTGGCCACAAGAGCATGTTTAATGAATCACTAATACTTGAAATGTGCCCTTGGTGTTCTAGGAAGAGCTGCACTAGGTTTGATGCCAACTACTCCTCAGCATAACCTCCTTATCATAACAGAATTGACTTATTTTACAAGTAATTTATTTTAAAACAGCTAGAAAATTCACCCAGGGGAGGCAAGAATTCTCCTACAAAAGTCTTTAGTTACTCAGTCTCAGGAAACATTGGCATTCTTTTCAAATTTCCCATTCGGACCCACATCCATTGTAGTTAACATTGAGAAGCTAATGCCTTACTCCCCAGTAGCAGAATCTCTTTCTCTATAAGCTTTGTTTATACATTTGCAGCACCTAATAATTCCTCTTGTTTGTGTGATTATTCAGTCTGATTGTGTGTCCATCTACCTCATTTTAGTTTGAGAACCACTGTTACTTGGTTGGCCATCTCTTGATACCTCAGCACCCATGTAGTTTGGGGGTCTTCTCTCCTTCCCTCCCTGAGCTTCCTCGGGTCACTGCCTCCATCATCCAGGCTCTTCCCTGAAGAAGGCTGGAGCACAGAGTGTGTGTGTGTGTGGGGGTGGGGGGTATTCAGATAGACTTAAGTAAGAGATCGGACTTAAAGGATTATCACTTCTCACCTCTGAAGTTGTAGGAGAAATTGCAAAGTGTTTCTGGTCAGCTGTTTAAGGGGGGCACAGCCACACAATGTGTTCTATCTTATCTTTTAGCCAGTCTTACTTTTGCTATAATGGCTACTTTTCTATCTTGCATTAAAGATAATTATATTCTCTAGTCATTTACTCTTATATAATTGTGATTATAAACCTCATGACTTTTTATAATGATAATTTTTAAGTACAGCTGATAAGATTTAAGAAAAGCAAACAAGAATACTGTCTGTCATTTTAACTGAAATTCCTGACAAAGCCATACACAGAAAATTAAGGCATTTATGACAACATTTAGTAAATTTGCATTCTCCTCCCCTTTCTCTCTCTCTCTCTCTCTCTCTCTCTCTCTCTCTCTCTCTCTCTCTCTCTCTCTCTCTCCCCACAGGTACAATGTCAGTCAACTGGAAGAATGGCTACGTGACAAGAATCTGATGAACAGTGGGGCTAAAGAAACCCTGGAACCTCTCATTCAGGCTGCTCAGCTTCTGCAAGTGAAAAAGAAAACAGATGATGATGCAGAAGCCATCTGCTCCATGTGCAATGCTTTAACTACTGCCCAGGTAACGCAGCTTCCCTCCTCTCACATCATTTCACATTCGTCAAGGGTGAAAGAAATCCTCTAGCGATTGATCTTGTCTGAGCTGACTTCCTCTGCGTCAGAGAAGACATATATCTGACAGCTCTTGAAGAAGGATTTTAACAGGAAGTCACACATTTCAGTGCACTGAGACACAACCAGGAACGAAAGCATCCCTACTCTGAGGGGTTAGCATCCTAGGCCTGTTATGGAGCTTGTGTTCCAAAAAATAATTTTCCATATTGTCTTATAAGTCTTTTGACTTCTCTATTGTAAGACAGATAATTCTTGTTTCTGAATTGAGTTCCTATCTCAAGGGACCACACTTGTTGCTGGGGGAAACACTTCAATATATAAGGAACAATCCCTGCTGAAAAGGAACTGCAAGTTTAGTAGGGAAGACAGAGGTACCCGCTGATTCTGCTGGAAGAGATTCTAGCGAGCTCAGTGGAGAGACGTCCGAAGGATTGCTGAGGGCGATAGCTGACTGTTCAGGGGAGGGCCAGTCAGGCAAGGCTTTGAGTTTAAGGAGGGAGCAGAGAAGGGAGGACCCTGAGGACCCGCAGCTGCATGAGGGGAGGCGTAGGCATGCACATGCCCACTTCTCATTTCCCAATTATTTCTGTGCTTACTCTTGGACTTTCTTGGTGTTCATCACCTATCTCATAACATAGAAAGCTCACATAGGTTACACATAGAGTATGTACAGAAAACAGCCAGAAGGATAGTAAGGATCCTCAAAAATTGCCACTTTGGGAAACTGGGAGGTTGGGAGCGAGGGCACTTCTGCTTTTCATGTTTTGTTCTTTTTGTGCAGTTTGAATGTTTTTCCAAATTTACATTGCTTTTTAAAATGTACAGAGATTAATACACTTTTATTATAAAAATTAAAATAATAAAAATTGATGTGCCCTCAGACCATCTCATCTCCCCTCCTGCCCCACCAGCCCTGGGAGGAAGGGGAACTGCACTGAGATCTTTTCGGTCTTCTATATTATGAGCCCCAGTTCACTTGACTATATGCTGAAAATTTTGATTGTTTTATTTCTCACAGATTGTCAAAGTGCTGAATTTGTATACGCCAGTTAATGAGTTTGAAGAAAGAGTCTCTGTGTCATTTATTCGTACTATACAGGTAAGATCTCCCAACACAGTTTTTTTTAATGGAAATTTTACAATTTGTTGAAAGATAATTTTTTTTATTATTTTTATCTTATTTTTACAGTGCATTTTTTTTATAACAGCTTATTGGGAAAATGAAGTGAATTTAAAACAAATGTAAACATTCTTCATTTGTTGGGGAATTTTGGGTAGGATTTTTAGCAGGAGAAAATTTTCTTTATAGATTCAAAGAATTGATGCTCTGCTTTTTTTTGTTTTTTAATCTTCTTAGATGCGTTTACGAGACAGGAAGGACTCTCCTCAGCTGCTCATGGATGCTAAACACATCTTTCCCGTCACCTTTCCTTTCAACCCGTCCTCCCTCGCCTTGGAGACCATCCAGATCCCAGCCAGCCTAGGCCTGGGCTTCATCTCCCGGGTCTGAAAGCCACATCGAGGCAAAAGGACAGTACATTTCTTGCCTGAAATAAGAACCCATTATTTCCAGTGAGCTACTGAAACACATTTTTAAAGAAGATGTAGTCATTATCTTCCAAACAAGAGGTTATTAACTGGAAATCTCCCTAGAATACTTCCATCACCTCGGAAAGAAAGTCACACTCCTTCGTGCTGTTACCGGTAGCACCGCGCACCCTTGCTCATTAGGTACCCCGAGTTCACATGCAGGTGAATGATGGAAGGAAGGGGAAAATGTATCTTGAGTTGCCAGCATTTATTTTAAATCCTTAGCACTATATCTAAATGGTATAAAAAACCATAAATTCCAGATATGAGTGGTTGTTAGGAAGGTACCCACAGAGAACCTCCTCTATGTAACCAGAAGAAAAATCACTATTGAGAACATACCATATAATATCATATCAGTTTAGGAATCATGGTGATGTTGGACTGGATCACAGAAATCAACTGTAGTAGGTATAATAGCTGGACAAGTAACGTCCTTCATGTGTCATTATGATGTAGAGATATTAAGAAAATGCTGGTTTACTGTATAGCATAGAAGTCCATTTGCACTGTAGTTTCCTGAGCATCTTAAACTGCTGCTATATACTGGGTTCTTTAACATGTAAGCGGTATTCTTGTTAGGTACTACGAGAATAAGCTTCTCTTTTATCAACTGTTTATAGTACAATCAGATCAGTTTTAACTGGATTCTTTGCAAACATCTACAGATTCACCTGCACAAGTAGCAGACACTGGAAAGTCCTGTAGTAATATGACAAAATGTTGGACATTCAGGGGTAGGATTAGACAGACGGCAGTTGTTGGTGTCATTATTTATTCAGGACACATTACAGTGGTGTGCTCATTATTTTTCCCTGGTGGATACCACTACAGGGTACAGTGTTCTGTGAAGTGACTTATTTTTAGTTCCCAGATCTGATTTCTGCAATGCATACAGTCAACTTTGACAGGTTTCCGTTCTTCTTAATTTATTAAGAATTAATCTCAGTCACTATCTAGAGAGCATTGTCAGAATATTCATGATTCTGGTCTTGAAACCTTGATTATCCTATAAATTATGCAAAAGAAGGTGTATAATGAATACTTATGATTCCTTTTTTTAGCCTTTGCAATTTCTATAAATGTTCTCAGTAACACTAGATACTTTAAAGAGCATCGTGTTAGAAATACTTGGACTTATCTAAGAAATATTAGAAGATTGCTGAATTTTACAGGGGATTGGGCTTCATAAGACCCAGATTCTATGTTTTCACCCCAAAATTTTAATTAAACATATCCTGCATTTTTTCCTTAGAAATCTTATACATAAATCTTTCAGGTTGTGCAAATACAAATCCTTAGCTTTCATCAGAAACTCTGGTTCTTCCTTGCAATCATAGATTTTTATAATTTAACTCCCAGATGGTTTATAAAAATGCATCTTATTAAAATATGTGCAATATTATTAATGGAAGTCAAACAGTTTAGAACCAGTGATAAAGATTGTTATTAAAAGATAAATACTATCTGTTAACTTATTTAGGCCTCAAATTCCTCTTTTATAAATAAGAGGATTGGACACCTGACTCTTAAGGTCCCTTCCATGTCTAACATCTCTCCTCTCGGCGCTTAGATCCTAGAGAAATGAGCTGTAGTTCCTCAGTAAGTTTATCCTCTGATGTAGAGACCAGTGTTCGGTGCCTGTTAAGTCTGAGGGATTAATAAAAATATCACAAATCTGTTTAGTTATAACCTTTCTTCAATGTGCATGATCTGTGTCCATGCTTTTAGAAAGTTAATTTGTCTGGGTGGTTTTTATTGAATCACATACTGCTGTATTCAATTGGATACATTTATTTGCAAAACCAACCCAAAACATTACTAATTCAATCAGATTCTCTCAGTTTTGCCTGGTTTGTCACTGTGGTTTTCAGTGAACAATGAACTCATAACCAGGTGGTTAGTACTGAATGTGTCATAGTCTAAGAGTATAGATGGGACTTGAGTGGGGAGCTGCTAACAAAATGCCACCATGGGTAGGCTGTCCAGCGAAGCCCCGACCTCCCCAGCTCAGTCCTGTGCAGCATGTCCATGGGCATGTCCATGCGACCCTCAGTCTTGTCAGGTCTTCAGGATGCGCCGTGGGTCCCACTGCCTGCAGCCCCTTTTCCTGCTCCCAGACAGCTCGCATCCTGAAGCGTCTCTCATCATGGCCTTGGTCTCTCCCTGGACTGCTGTCCTTCTGCTGGACAGTGCTGCAGCCTGTCCCCTGCTGGACCGGAGGGCCTGTTAAGGGACGGCCACACAAAGTTCCGCTGTTCCAGGGCTCCCAGGGCTCCCAGGACCCAGGTGGGGGTGGGAATTAACTTCTCTTAGCAGCCTGAAGACCGTTAGTCATAACAAGAGTACCTGAAGCAGGGACCCCATGGCCTGGTAACAACTGCTACTTGAGGATGCAACACTGGTCTGAGGACTGCTCACCCGCCCTTCTGTCCACCCACACTTTCTCATGCAGCTGCACACACTTCCGGCTGCTTCCGCCTGCCCATTTATCTGTTCGCTCTTCCCCTTCTGTCAAGCAATCCGTGTATCCCATCTCTGCTCTGACTGCGTTGAAGGCAGCAGTGGATGGAGTCGGTCCTCAGCTGCCCCCTGGCCCACCTGATGGCTTACCTTGTAGCAAATCTGTAAAACTTGTTCTCCTTCTCTGTAGTACATTTTTAACATTATCACTAATTTACTTTCTCATAATTCCTCTATGACACACATTAGGAATTCAAAGAAAAATCTTGCAAGAATAGCATTTCATTGTCTTAAGCCCTTCTCGATACTCCCCACTCACTCACATCTAGATTCAGCTCGAACCTTGGAATTCGTAGTTGAAAAATTAGAAGCAGTTTCCCTTCTTGTAGCTTTTCTTAGGTTAAGGCTTTGATCCACCTGAGAGTAACTACAAAGACGGGGAAGATGAATATGGTTTAAGATCCACAAATGTGGCTTCATGATTCCTTTGGAAGTTTTGAAAAATCCCCATGTACCTGACACTTCTTTTGTCAGGATAAAGTACATACCCATATATTCCAAAGCCAACTTAAAGGAGATTTGGGGGTTGGGATCAGTTGGTACGATTTGCTTTATTTCAGTGGATAATTGAGAGTTGGCTCTTTCTGGGTAAGTATGTATAATACAGAGCAAATCTTTTCATAAAAGTGGGGGGAACTATGAAAATACTTTATTAGAATCTCAGTACAGTGATGGTTGAGAAATTACTTTCCTGGTAACCCTAGGTAAAAGGGCAACTGTCACCATCTGAGAAGTGTTCTCTCTCTCTCTCTCTCTCTCTCTCTCTCTCTCTCACACACACACACACACACACACACACACACACAGTCACCAGTTCATAGCGTTCCCCAGGAGGCAAAATCAAATATCCTCTGGGTAACTTCAACTACTTAGGATAAAACAGCAAAAATTAGTGATTGACCTTTAAATTCTCCTGTAGCACAGACCTCGCATCTGGCTCTGCTTTCCTCCAGCGTGCTTTCTCGTTACCTCACTGTGTCCTCACAGCAGCACTGGAAGGGAGAACTGTGGCTGCAGTCATCTGCTGATGGTGACATGAGAGAGGTCGGTCAGACTTGCCCTGCAGCCCAGCTGCTCGCCCCACAGCGGCAAGTCCTGAGGTTACATCTGTTCCTCGGTACCTGTGGGGGGCCCCGGGTCAGCAAGAGGTGCTCTTTCTTCTTATCAGAGTTGGCAGCTGGCATATGGGAGCTGAGTAATGAGCAATGTCGAGTTCTTTGTGCTGACGAGACAGAGCACCTAGAGCCAGTAGTTTTCTTTCTGTCACAGTTGCCTGCTGCCACTAGGCTTGGCTCTGTAATTACTCAGTGCTCCCCTGGAGGGTGCGACACTGTGTTTAGGTCACTCATTAGTAGCAGGCTGTCTCGGCCTGATGGAGATTAGTGAACACCTCCCAAAGCGATGAGGAAGGTCACTCTCCACACACACCCCTCTGTTAGAGTCAGCAGGTGAGCTGTTGGAGCCACCAGTGAGCTGCGCAGCCCCTGGGGAACCTGCAGCTGCAGGCCACGCCCCTGGGTGCTTCTGAGCGCTATCCCCGCCAGGCCGTGCACAAGTCAGGGCGTGTGTAGACATTACCGTGTGTGCATGCTGCCAGTGTCTACTTTGCAGCTAGGAGGTGTGCTGTATGCATGTGTGTTAGGGAAGCTGTGTGTTGCTGTGGCCTCCGTTCATGGATAAGGGCAGCGTCATTTCTTCTCAGGCCCTGCTGTGAGGGCCGCCTTAACCCCTGCTCCCTTCCCTCCTGGAGCTGCCTTAAGTTCTCCGAAACTTTTCCTGTGTACGGGGATGTCTTGCCTGGAGAGAATATCAAGCCCTGTTTCTCAAGGTCTTGTGAGGGTTTTGGTTGGGTGTGGCCTCCAACCACTAATTCCTTTCCCCGAGTCTGCATGCTCCTCCCCCACCTGTTACTTCTTCCTTTCTTTTCTGTTATTTCCAAACAGGTAGTAGAACTCTGGGGTAGCAACAGTCTCAGAGCCAATGGAATGGGGGCTTAGAAAGTCTTCCTGAGTTTGGGGGTCAAGAGGTGGGAAGACTCTGGGTCACAAGTAAGCAAATGAACATATGGAAGAAATGTTAGACTTTTGGTAGCATTTAAATGGCTTGTTTTCCACAGCCTTTTCTTAATAAAAAGGTAAAGAGTACCACTGTCAAACTTTTCATGGACATTCTTTAAAAATATTTTTTAAGAACCCGGTACTATAAAAGATTGAAAACAAGAAAAAATGCTATAAATTCGAACCCATTGTATTACCCTAAATTAAATCAGCCTGGAGTTAGTGGGTTTTCAGAAGATCAGAAACAGAAAAGTACTGTGTAACATATCTGCCAAAATGTGTTTTATACATTTTTTAATTTTATAATTCGGTCTAGCTAAAATGTTCATTAGCTTAACTTAATGGGTGTTAGTAGAGTCATAAATATCTGAAAATGACTAACCTTTTTAGTACTGTAATATTGCCTGAAATATTTGAAAGAAAAATGTTTTTTGAGTTGAAACCGGAATGTATAATTCAATGCTTGGTAGGTGAGTACATTTTAATGCATTTTTCAGACAATAATTTCAAATGTCTTATTGTTGCCATATGTTGTAAGATTTTAGCTCACATTTCAGGCTCTCAATCATTTGAGCCATTTAATTTTTTCCCAACAAATGCTGATTTTTTCCCATTAAATGTGGATATGTGTGTTGTAATTTATGATTCCTAGTTATGTATTTCTGTGGAATCCTGGAGTAAGGTTGACATTTTTGTGTCTTGGAAATTTTAATTGCTCTAACAGTGTTGCACAGAAATGAGCTCATGACATTTAACATATTACATTTTAATTATTAACTTTAAATTGTTAATTTACGGTGAAATGGATATGCCTTTTAACTAAAATGAAATTGAACATTGCAATTTTCCAAACAGTTTTTCTTCTTGGACCTGGAAAAGTTTTTAGGTACAGTATTCAGCCATTAAAAAGGAAGCAGAAGTACTAAGAAATGAAGGAATTACCAACCAACTCTAGTTTTAAAGGGAACCCATCCCAGCATATCTCACATGTAGTTTTTAAAAATAAGTTAATAATTCACCTCATTTTAACAGAAGCCTTTGAAACATGGGTTTTTCACTAGATATCACCTAGTGCTAAGATGGAAACCAAAACAATATCAGATTGATGTTTAAGCTCTAAATTTGTAGTTGTCTAATGTTGTACTGAGTAAATGTGTGTCATTAATGCTGTATTCTCCTAGCTATTATAGAAAATTGTTCAAATAAAGATATGGATATAAAGGATTTTTGTTGGTGTCTTATAAATAAACCCACAACACATGAAACATGGAATATATACCAATATAGACCACATTCTGGACCACCTTTAAAATTTAAAAAATAGAAGTCCTATAATGTATGCTTTCAGATGAAAACAATTAAACTGGAAATCAATGACAAGAAAAATGGTTGAAAAATCTGCAAATACTTGGAGATTAAACAACACACTTCTAAATAACACATGAGTCAAAGAAGAAATCTCAAGAGAAATTTAAAAATATTATGAACTAAATGAAACTACAACTTATCAAAATGTGAGGGGTGCAAAGAAAGCAGTACTTAGAGGGAAATTTATAGCATAGACTGCATGCATTAGGGAAAAGAAGGCCCTAAAATCAAATATATAACTTTCTACTTTAGGAAGTGAGAGAGAGAGAGAGAGAGAGAGAGAGAGAGGATGAATTAAGTGCAAAATAAGAAGGAGGAAAGAAATAACAATTAGAGCAGAAATTAATGAGATTTAGGACAGGAAACCAATAGGGAAAATCAGTGGGGAAAAAAAAACTGGTTCTTTGAAAAGATCAATAAAAAATTGATAAGCCTCTAGCCAGGCTAATTAAGGAAAAAAGAGAAATGACATACAGTAGATAAGTGGTTGCCTACCTACACGTAGGAGTAGAGGGTACTGAGGGAATAGAGAGTGATAACTATGAGTAAAGAGCATTGGAGTTTCTTTTTGAGATGACCATGTTGACTGTGGTGACAGTTTAACATATCTGTGACTATATTAAAAACCACTGAGTTGTATACTTTAAATGGGTGAAGTTTATAGTATGAGAATCATATTGCAATAAATTTTTATTTTTCAGCAGACTTTTGCCACCTGGTATGGCAGACTGAGGAAGGAGCTCAACAAAGTCTCTCCTCAAAAACAACACTTTTAGAGCTCTATAAATTGATCAATAGCACACAACAAATTAGTAATGGTTATCCATGGAAAACCAGTGAACTCTGAGTAAGAACAATGGAATTTGACATTGTTGGCTGGGGCTACTCCATCCTCCTCCCCTCCCCCAGTTCGATCATGTGGTAGTTCTGCCACAGTTGGGGAGCTGTGAAAACCAGCAGCTTTGCCTTGGGAGGGCTCCCTTGATTGGAGTGGAGTGCAGTAAAACCCCACACTGAGCTCTGAGAGAATATGTTTCTGTTGTTTTAAGCCACCCAGTTTGTGGTACTTTGTTACAACAGCTGCAGGAAAGTAATACAGTATTAAACTGAAGTATCTGTGATGAGTTCAAATGCATGAGTTAATCCCTAGAGAGGTACCACTAAAAATTTAACTCAAAGAGCCTTGGTCAGTTTGGGTCAGTACGTGCCCTTGACCCAAAGGGTCTTAGGGTCAAGGGCACGTACAGGGCACATACCTCAGTTGCATGTTTGGGCAAAGCAGGAGGCAACCAGTCGATGTATTCCTCTCATGTCAATGTTTCTCTCTCTCCCTCCTCCCTTTCTTCCACTTTGTTTAAAAATCAATGGAAAAAATATCCTCGGGTAAGGATTTAAAAAAATTAACTCAAGAAATATAGTTCTTTTAAAGGTAGGAATTAATGTGAAACACTAAAAAAATCTATCACCACAAATATCGGCAAAAGAGAAGCAGAGGAATAAAAAAGACCTCAGCCATATAGAAAAGATGTCAATCATAAATCCAACCATATCAATGGTTACATTAAATGTGAATGGATTAAACACTTCCACCAGAAGCAGAGATTGTGAAACTGGATTTAAAAAACAAAAAAGCAACAACAATAACAACAACAAAAAACAAGACCCAACTGTATTACTGTCTATAGATTAAAAAACAAACACAGGTTGAGAAAAAAAGAGAAAAATATATCAATTCCATTCAATATTGAAAAAAAGCAAATATCCTAACAAACTAGGAATAAAAGGAACTTCATGTGTGGAAAGACCTACTGCTAACCTTATAATTAGTGCCAAAAAACCCCACACAAAACAAAAAGTGGAATGCTTTCCCCCTTAGATTGGGAACAAGACAAGGATGTCTATTTGTTCTTACCACTGCCACTCAACATTGTGCTGGTGGTTCTAGCCAACTCAATAGGCACATACAAAAATAAATGCAACCAGGCTGAAAATAAAGTTAAAAGTGTATTCACTTGCAAATGACAGTTTGTATGTGGAAAATCCTAAGGAATCCACAAAAAAAATTACTATAATAAATTCAGGAAAGGTCACAAGCTATAAGATCTATATACAAAAATCAATTATATTTCTATATATTAGCAATAATCAATTGGAAAGTGAAATTAAGAAATCATTTATATACATTCATAATAGCATAAAAAAGGATAATATGCCTGAGAATCAGTTGAGTAAAAGAAGTGCCAGACTTGCACACTGAAAACTACGGAACATTGCTGAGCCACCTTGCAGAGGTTTTCCAGCAATCCACACACTTTCCAGAGGCTGGTGCTCAACCAGGGTGGGACTTTAGACCATAAGAAATGTCAACCAATCGTACAATTTTCCAGAAGTCCTGCTAGGGTTTTTGTTCCAAATATATTAGGCTTATATATTATTAATTTGGGTAGAATTGGCACCTGTACAATATTAAATAGTCCCATCCATGAAAATGACATGTCTCCCCATGTACTGAGGTCTTTTATGCCCATGAAGGGAAATTTAAGCATTTTCTGCACAAAGGCCAAGTGCGTTTTTGTTAGTGTAATTTCTGGACACTGTGTATTTTCGTTGATATTATAACTATCTTATTTTCCTATTTTACTTTCTTCGTATTTTCTAAATGGTTATTGCGGATATAAAGGAAAGTTATTCATTTTTATATTTTATTTTGAATATGGTCACCTGGCTGAGCTCTCACAAGCTTGTTGATTCTCTTGGATTTTCTATGGAAATGGTCATGTCCTTCTGCTCTTGACAGTAAACACGCAGCGACTTAAGGGAGCTGGAGCCTGGGCCGGGACAACCTGGGCACACCTGTTCCCTGCGGGCGGGACAGCGCAGCGCAGCGCGCTCCGCCTAGTTCTTGGAGGGGCGCTCGCCCCGCAGGTGGACGCACTTCCCCGCAGACACTC